TCGAAAACAATATTTAAAAGTGATTGATGAAGAATTAATTCGGCTAAGTTCGGTAACAAACAAAGAAATAAAATTTGATTTCGACATGTCAAATCAAATTCAAGTTTTCGAACCGAATGAAGAAAATAACGATGTTGACGAAATAATGGAGGTGGATGAAGATATTCAGCGGTTGATGAAGAAAAACGAATTGATTTTAATGAAGAAAACGATTTTCGAAGGAGATCTATGAATTCAATGGTAATGTGACACGATAAATCAAGATGACGAACGAATTTGATCGGTAATAAATTGAGATTTGAATGAGACAAATTCGTTTGTATCGATGTAAAAAAGTTTTGATCAATACATTGATCAAGACGATGAAATTGATATGGCAAAGTAAATAAATAATGCATATCTGTCAAAGAATTCCAATAAGAAGCAAAATTCCATTTGGAATGTTGAAAATCATTGAATAATTCTCCTGTATATGTTTGAAAAAACAAATGAAATTCTTTTAATTTGAATAAATGATTGAAAATATTGTCATTTAAACGTTGATAATTCATAATTGTATTAAAACATCCAATTACATAAAGACGAAGTTTTTCCAAAGATTTCATTTGTTTGATCAACATTTCAATTCGTTCGTATTTTGTTACAAAATAAACTAAACCATGATACGAATTGATTTCATATGAAAAATCATTTAATCGAGTTGATAAATTCAACAATTTATTTGAACAATTTTCATCCGAACTAAAAAAGAAAAGAAAAGAAAAGAAACGTTTACTTCGAAATATTTGAGACAAGAGTACTTTGTCACTTCATAATTGATATTAACATGACAAATTTCGATGATTGGTAAGGAATTCAATAGATCAATGACATCTGAATGTGTTTTGAGATGAATAAAGATCTTTTTTAGAGATGAACATTGAATAAATGGTTTTTCAAATGTCAATGATTGATTTCGAATAAATAAAATTTGTAAATTTTTGAAAATAATTTGTTCATTCAATGAAATATGAAAAGAATTCTTTAAATATAAATTCAAATATTTTAAATGAGTATTCGATGACAAATTCATAAATTTCATTTGTTCATCAGTTAATTCAATTGATTTTAATTGTTTAATCAATTGTTTTTGTAAAGAATAATATTGAAAAACATTTCCATGTAATTTTATTAAATTTATTCGATGAATTTTTGATTTTAAATAAACTTTTAAGAATTCATTTATTCGTTGATTTAAATTGAAAAATGAATAAAGAATATCAATTGGATTTAAATGATCAAAAATTATAAAAATTAATTCATTGGGAAGAAAATCAAATCGAGTCATCCGGTCAACTTCAAAAACAAAAAATTGCCTCTCGACTTTTCTTCTTCTTTTCATCGTTACTTGGCAATATCTTGTTGTTTTTCTCTATTCGATAGATGTCTTTTCTTTTCACACGAAGAAAAGAGCAAACTTTATTTCTTTTTAAAAAAATCGAATCTATTTTTGAGCGTTTTTTGTTTGTTCAAATGAACGATTGATTTAGATACTACAATAACGTAAATTACAGACAGGTGGTGTACTCAGATAATAGACATAATATCCGTTACAATTTGTAACTTGAATTGAATTTGACCAATTACAAGTATTTCCACTCCAATTATAACAAACATTTCCTGATGTTGTTGCACCTGCAGCAGATGGATGAACTCCTGAATACCATCCACTTGCATGTGTACTACAATGATAAGTAGGTACAGCACAACTTGCGAGCATTGTACCGGCAGCACCGGAAAATCGAAACCAACCAGGAAGTGTTAGTCCAGCTGGATCACATTGATAAACTGCAACAGAATAACCAGCATTTCGTGTACTATCTGTTATCACCGTTGCTGTTGAACATTGAGATGGTAATGCACTTGAAGTTATCGTTGTTGTTATCGCTGTTGTTGAACATACTGTTGTGCCTAATGTTGCTTTTCATTTTAAAAAAGAGAGAAATCGTTTTTCAAAGATAAAGATTTGATAGATTTCAATTTACTTGTTGCGGATGTCGAAGTTGTTGTCGTAGTTGTTGTGCTCGTTGAACTTGTTGAAGTGCTGGTTGTGCTAGTTGTACTAGTCGTACTAGTTGTGCTTGTTGTACTTGTTGACGTCGATGATGTGCTCGTTGAGCTCGTCGAAGTACTGGTTGTGCTAGTTGTGCTAGTCGTACTAGTTGTGCTTGTTGTACTTGTTGTCGTAGTGGCACTAGTTGTCGTGGTCGATGTCGTCGTCGTCGTCGTTGTTGTTGTTGATTCTAAATGGAATAGAACAAGAGAAAAATAGTTTGATTCGAAGGAGAGAATGATCATACGATTGAAAATAGTGAGCATAAGAAAAGGAACTGCAATGGCTGCTGCTAATAAAAGACAACAAACAATACCTAAGATGATTTTCCACCAACGACGTCGACATCTTCAAAAGAAAAAGATTCATTGAGTTTTAAAAAAGAAGAGCGAGATGAGATTAACAAAAATACAATGATTTCGGCGAATCTTTTAAAAGATCATTTGTTGGAAATTGAATTTCACTTGGTGTTTTTGATATTCGTTGAATTTCTTGATCAAGATCATCATTTTCATCAATTATTTCAATTTGATTTGCTTGAAAATTCTGAATTTGTCTTTGAATTGGCGGATACTTTTAAAAAGAACATTTATTAAAAGATAAACTAATTAAAGCTTCAAATTTGTTACACTAAGATAAACAAATCTTGGTTCTGGATACATTTGATATTGGTTGTGCATTTTTACTTGTAGTTCAAACGATATTTTTGTAAAATATTCGTTTCTTTTTTTTCTCTTAGCAAAATAATTAAATATATACTAAGCAGTTTGTTGTTTTCAGATGAAAGTTGAAAGAGAAAAGATAAATAAAATCGTTTTAAAATTCTTGAAATTGTAGTTCAAGATGAAAATTACTCTTTTAAATAAATATTTTTGTGCATAAGAATTATGTTGAGTTCGTCTCTCCCCTCCTTTAATAAACTCTATATCTACTAGATGAGCTCCACATATGAATTTTTTCTTAAATGAAATAAATCTTATCGAAATATTTCTCCTTGTATTCGCTTTGCTATTTTCATTAAAATGTTACACTTCATTATTATTGACAACAAAATCATCGATATTTATAGACATATAATAAGCATGAAATATCTATAGAAACGATATGATCTATATTTGGAAAGAGAAATATTTCTATGAAGAGAAAAAAAAAAAGAGAAAATTATCATTTTTCATATTGAATAATTTCGGTAAGAAACAACTTTCGTGTATTTTTCATTATAAAAAATGCCATTTGATTTTTCAGAATTTTTATTTGAAATATCATGTCAACATTAGAAGATGAAAAATATGGTCAAACAATTTTTGCATTTTGTGATATGTGTTATGTTGTAATTGATGCTGAAAAAGAAAAATATTATAAATGTTTATCATGTAAAGATTTTGTTGTTTGTGTTAATTGTTTATCATTAACAAAAACAAAACATTCTGTAGGACATAAATTTTCATGTAAAAAAGGTCTTCCAAGTCGTTTATTATGGATTCAAAAGAATATGGGAATTACATGTGATCGTTGTTTTAGTCGAGATTTTTCAGGTCGTCGTTATCGTTGTACAAAATGTGGAGATTATGATGTTTGTGAAAAATGTTTTCCACATGTTTCATTATGTCATCAATTAAAATTAGTACCAAATATAATTAAAGCAAGATTAAATCATAAATTAATGGTACGACGTGCTGTTGCTGCATTAAGTAATCCGGATTCACCATTTTATGGTCAACCATTTGAAGTTGTTATTGATTGGCCAATTAATGCTACACGTCGATTAATTAATCAAAGAGAACAAGAAGAAGAAGAACAACAACAACAACAGCAAACACAAAGGAAAAAACAAGAAAAAAAAGAAAATTCATTTATATTTGACGATATTTTACGTTTACAAGAACAAATGAAAGAATTAGAAATCAATAATAAATCAAATAAAAAATTCATTGTGAAAAATGAACATGAAACTGAAGATTATCTAAGAAATAAACGTTTAGAAGATTTTCAACGAAGACAAAATTTACTTAAAGATATTGATCTTACCAATAGATAAAAACAATATTTTTCGTTTTCTTTTTCAGAAATTAATCAGATTTTTTAAATAAAGATTTTTTTGTTTTTAGAAAAAAAGAGATTTTGGAATTATTAATATCGAACACAATTGTTTATTTTTGAATTTACAAATTGAATGATTTTAACAAATTAATGGTACAGATGACAAAATGTTTATAAAAGAATCGAATTTCGATTTCATAAAGAATGATGATGAAATATAAAAATTATGTTCTTCGAACATTTTCGATCTTATATTAACAGAAAGTCTTGAAATGATTTGTTAATTATAAAATTTCTTTTATGTATTTTCTTCTATTGAAATTCCAAATGATCTTTAATGTGAACTTTATTTCATCAATAATAACTATAAATCTGTTGTTAATTTCAGTGACATTTGTTTAACTTCACGACATATTTTAAATTCGTACATTTCTATGTGATTATACATGGAAGATTAAAAAGTCGATTTTATTTCTTGAATATAATTTTGAGTATTTGTTTATTAAATGAGATTTATTTAAGTAGAAAATAAAATCTTTTTCTTATTTGTTAAAATCAAAACAGTTTTGTATTTGATTTTGATGAGATTTGAAAAGGGAAATTCATCGACAAATAATCTTTTGAAAAAGCCCTTTTAATCCATTGAAAAGTGCTGTACGAAAAAGTGTTCCTCCAGTTAATGTATAAACATAAAAAGGCATTCCATTTGTCATGTAAGTAAATAAGATGAATAAATTCAATAAGAAAGTATTTACAGCATTTGTAAGTGCAGATTTGACTTCATATTGAGTAATAATAGAATAAAGACTTAGACCAGCTTGAGGAAGTGAAAATAGAATGATAAATGTTGTTTGTACAAATAACATAAGAAGAAGTGAACGTTCAGTTTTCCTTTTTCGTAAGGAATTTTCATTTCTTTGTGTTGTTGATGTTGTTGAAAGTGGTTGAATTTGACGTAAAGTAGATCGATGAACATTATAAATGGTCATCAATCCAAAAATAATCATTAAAAACGAAGGAATAAGAACAGTAAGAAAGACAAATTCAAAATTATGAATTAGTCTACAAAGAACTGATCTTCCATAACATGTTATTGGATAATCTATTGGTTTGGCTACAAAACAATAAAAATATTGAAAATATGCTAAACTTGAAAGAATAATAATGAAAAGAATTCCTTTTTGAGCATTTTTGAATGTACTCATTTGTCGATAAGAAATAGAAATTGATGATGAAAGGCATCGATCAATAATTGCCAATGTAATTAACCAAGATGCAATTGTTCTTGCTGTTGATAAAACAAAGAAACGAATTTGACAAATAAGATCATTTCGATCTGTTAAATCAGCCGACCAACCAGTTAGAAAACGAACACCAACACCAGTGATTAATGTAATCAGATTGAAAACAGAAGATGAAAGAAATAAAAAAGCACAAGGATTTGAACGAAGATTTCGTTGACTAAGTGCTAAACAATTAAGAAGATTTCCAATTATACCGAAGAAAAAGATTCCAATTGGTAAATAACGATTGATTTCAATTGTTACAGAAACTAATGTTGAAATGAAAATGGCATCAGTAGAATTTGTAGACATTTCAATCGAACTTTTCATATAAAAGAAATTTTCTTCGTATTGATACAGAAGTTGTTTTAATAGGTTCGAAAGATATTCATAATAAAAAAGAAAAATGAACTTCTTTTGCTTCAAATGAAATGAATGTGTCTAATGTTGTGAAAAAAAGAAGACAAAATAGAAATAAAAACGCATGTCAAGTGGATTAAAGTACTTCGATTTTCTATATAATGTTATTCATTTGTTTTGTTTTTCTTCTTCGTTAGTCTAATTTAACTAATTGATAATAAATTAAACATGAAGAAAGGGGAATATTCGAGAGAAAAAGAAAGGTCAAGCTTGATGAAAGTATTCATCATTGATATTTTTCAAAAAGAATCTTTTTTTCTAAAAGATCATGATGAGAAGAAATTTGTCATATTCATAGAAATATTTCTGTTCTCCATTTTCTTTTATCTGTTCAAGTTCTATTCGATTATAAGAACAAAGAAATGTTCACGAAATATCATAATGACAATTGAATATTTCAAAGAAATAATAAATCAAACGTAATTAGAATTTGAATTCGTAGAAGAAACTAATTTTCATTATTTTTTAGATGATAATATTTATTAATTCTGTTCAATGTTTATCCACTTAGTCATTCATAAAAATACAATTAGTCTTTTGAATTGTTATTTTTCATCATCATTATTTGATTCTATTTCCGAAAAATACTTTCATTCAAAACCGATTTTGTTGTTTGTAAATCCAAAACATTGAAGAAAACGCAGATTTGGATTTTGGAGAAAAATTTTCCAAATGAATAATTTGAAGATCATCTTTTGTTCGAATAGATTTAATTCGAAGTGTTGTACATGGAATAAGAAGAACTTCTTGTTCATCTTCATATTCGGATAAACAAGGTAAATTTGAAGATATTTTAGAGAAATTAATCGCTAAAGGACATTTTTCCTTAAATTCAAATATCATAAGAACACATTGAATTTGTAGATTTCAATCTGTTGGAATTTTAAAGATGTTGAACAAAATGTTGTTAAATAAAGAATTGATGAATATTTCAATGTCCTTTGATAAATTTGAAGATTATCGTTTGACATCATTAAACCATTCTTTCTTTAAATTGAAATAACGATTCAGTGAAACATCTTGGATCATCGTTTAATGTTTCATAAAAAAGTGTTTCAAGTGTATAGAAGTGTAATAAATATTCAGCTTGACCACATTTTTCAAATTGATTAAGAAGAGAAATACATTTGTGAAATTCACGATGTTTATTTGTAACTTTATTTAGAATCAATTCATTGAATTGTTTTGAAAGTTCAAATCTTGGTGAATCAATCTGATTTTCTTCGATAAAATTTGATTTGAAAATCTTTTCAAATGATTTTGTGTGAATAAAATTCATTAAAAATTGAATTACATAAACCATTCAATGAACTAAGATTATTTATCCGAAAACGAGATTTTTTTCTTCATTTGCAAATCGTTGAATCCATTGATTTCTTGGTGGTTCTTCAATTTCTTCAATATGATTCCATAAATCTTCATCATTTATTTTCATTTCAAAAATCTTTTTGTTTAAAAAATTCTTTTCATCACCAAATCGATTTGTTGATTCTTCTGATGACATTTTACAATTATAAACATAAAATAAAAGATAAATAATTTCTTTTTATTCTGTAAAACATGCTGCATGTCAAGTTGTACTTCCATTAGCTTGTAAACAATTATTTCAGTTGTTTTCATTGTTAATAACATTTCTTTGACAAGTTTCACATCATCATTTCGACAAGTCCAATAGAATTCATTTACTTCACCTATCCTTACTCGATTTTCATCTATTGTCTTTTGTTCATTGATTTCACTTCGATTATGATCAATGAGAAAAGAAAAAAAGAAAAAGAAAATATTGATTTTGTTTTTTAAATAAGGATTTTATCGAAAGAATGACTTGTCAACTGTTTCTTTTGAGAATAAAATTACTCTCAAAATAAGAAATGAAAAAACAAAATCAATGATCGAAGATTCGTTTTGTAAAAGATGATTAAATATCCGTATTTCGATTTTGTTTTCTTTCTCACACGTGTTTTTCTTCTTATTAAATATTTGAATCTTCTTCAATAAGATTTATTTCTAGAAGAAATCGATCGTATTTTCTTTTTTTAATTAAATTTTGGTTGATAAATCAATTGAAATTTAAGAATTTGATGACGTTGACAATCCGTAACATAAAAATTTCCTTGAAAATCAGTCGTTAAACCAATTGGATCAAAAATCTTTTCAACGATAATTTCACCTTTTTCTTTTTCTTCATACGATCTCATTATTCGATGATTTCCACTATCAATAATATAAATTTGACGAAAATCATCAACAAATAATCCTTGAGGATAATTTAATTGATTGAGTCGTGTTCCTTTTTCATTTCCTCCAACT